TATGACACATGGGTTGTAGGATTAAAATGGGAGGTGGACGGAGGCACCCTTAAGTCTTGCTGAAATTCTCTCCCTGGGCAGGAGAAAATTCAAGATTGAATGAACTGAAAAGGAGGGCCATAGTCTAGTGATTAGAGCATGTAACTGGGAGAGACAGATGTAGAGCTCTGGGCACCATTTAGTATAACTGAAGACTGCTTTGTGTAAATCTCCTGGCTTTGAGATCTTAGAATAATGAAGTGTGATATAATTGTGCCCTTCTTACAATAGTGTTCTTTCTCAGTATGTCATTGTATATAGTTTAAGTTACGCAAACTGAGGCTGAAGTAATGGTGGGCTCTAAATGTTGTAATATGTAGGTTGTTTTGAAGTATGTATTACATTTCATTGTGTACTCAGCAGTGCTCAAAATCTAACAACTTGAAAGAGCCTTCATCATTAATGTGAGTCAGAAAAGATAAAGCTAAGTGGCATAGTAGATGTTAACTTTAATAAACTTTCTCTGAAGATCTGAATTCAAACGTTTAAAATCAAAGGAAAGAGGTTTGCTGACAGGAAATGTGTATTGCAGTGAAAGAAGGTTAAACTTTTTTTGTACCTCTTGCTTGGAACCACAAAGGATGAACATTCAGGGAAAAGGTTGAATTAAAAATTGTCCTTGTACTATTTCAAACTGTAGTAGGCTTTTTGCAATACCTTGTTTCTAGTTGCTGGAGAAACAAAGACTCCTTTGTAATGCATAAATACAATTTTTACAGCTGTTTAATTTTCAGTCTAAATGTTGGAGTGAAATGAAGTCTTATGGGGCATAGATATTAACACAATGAACAGAAAATCATCAAAGATTTGGACCTTTAATATCACTGATCTTTCTTGATGAGGTCAGAATCTTACCTGATTGGCATTCAGAAAACAAACTGAGTTAGATAAACACCTTTCAAATGACCCTGTCAGAAGCCTGGATTTTCCAGAAAATACATGCAGCTGTGTTAGCCCAGAGAAATTAGGTGTTGACCTTGTTTTGGAAAAAGGCGATCTAGATGATGGTGACTGCTGAGGACTCTTAAGTTAGTGACAGAACCAGAGATTAAGCCTGTGAGTATCATTAAGTATGAGAGCATCTCTTACATCCACTATTATTTTTTGAGGTAAAATTCTGTTTTCTTCTCTGATTGTTCTTCTTTTCTGTTTTACATTTGTACCTTACTGGAATGTTTACTCCTCACAGTCTTTCTCCTGATTTTCTTTGATGCTCTAGAAGTCTTATCTGTCCTGTGCCGTTGCTGTGTCCTAGAAAATAATGTTCTGCTCATTCAGAAGAATGTATTTTAACCTATTCTGCATCACCAAGCAATTAAAATTTTTTGTATCAATCTCATCAGATGCAAATATGTTTTGCCTATTTACGAATTTATGTTGATACTTCTTTTTAAGTTGCTAACTAAATAGGACAGTTCAAAGGTGTAATACATCCAAAGAGATAAGTGTGTAATTGTTTTGGCAACTCCTCTTTGGCTTGAAGGTACCCAGTCATTTAGGAAATGCTAGCATAGCTGTCATTTATTACCTGAAAATCTGTGATTATTGTACCACAGAGAGTATCTTTTATTTCAATGCAGTACTAAGAAATAGGTCTATTTATTCCAGGCTATACATAGTTTGAAATTTGACTTGCAAGTTAAAGAACTTTCCTTCCCCTCAAAAAAAATCCCACTGCAATAGTTGGTTTTTGTTAAACAGCATTAAATTTTTAACTGTTCAAACCATTTGCAAGAAAATGGACTAACACCAGTCATGTTTTTAATTGCCTTGAAAATTTCTGTGTGCCACTTACAAATTTTAGTTAAAATGTCTTCCCCAAAAGAAACAACAGAGAACTGACAATTCTAATCCTGGCTGTGACAGCAAAATTATGAAAGTTAAACTGGCAAAAAAACCAAGAAAAATGATGGTGAAATGCTTTCCTTTTTTCCGTACTTAAGGGTACAATATATATTGAAGCTTTTTGTTTATGTAAAAAGCAATTTCACTGGCCAGAGTACTATTTTTAGTATTTATACTGTGTCAGCACTTCAGATTAAGCACTGTAAAGGCTTGTAAACCTCCCAAAATACTGGCTTATTGGAAGAGAAAGAGTTGAAATTATCAGCTCAGTGCATCTTCAGCCAGGCTGGTTAATACTTACTGAGATTCTGTCTTATGTGTGATAGAATGAAGCAATCATTTTTAGTGAATTAATTGAAGAAACATATGTTCTTGATTTTTAACTTCATTCACTAAGTGGGGATTCTAGAAAAATGTTACACAATGCCACGCTTGTATTCCAGTTTTCACAGTTTTATTCTCGTTTGTAAGACTCTTACTGCAGTGTTTACTAACATTTTAAATTTGCAGGGGACAAAAATAATCAACTAACAAAACTCTGAGTGATGAAGACCTCATTTTTGAAGTTTCTTTCATTGTCTCATTAGTTTTCTTCATGACACTTTAAACTGAGACTACGATACTTGTAACATTTCCACTATTCAGAGTTCATCGGTGCGTGTCTGAAAATATAATTCCAGATTCACTTTTTCTCTTGCAATAAATATGGTTGGAAAGGTATTTAAATTTCACTCAATACAGTCAGTTTGCAAAAATCTGGTTTCTGTTCAGTTTCCTGTTTGTGATGTATGTCTGGACCTGTGTACAGTAGCATAACTTTTCATTTTGAGGCACGGCCACCAACATTGCAGCAATGGATACTGGCTTCTTGTAGCAGGGCTGAGGAACGGATTTTGAAATCTCACCCTACTGTCAAATCCCTTCCTGCCTCCCTCCCCCCCAGAAGTCAGATTTTATTTGAAAATCCATTTTGACACACCATTCTGCTGGGAAGGATTCCAAGAAAGAAATACTTAACGGTTTCTTTGGCCTCCTTTAAAATCTTCTTGTGCTGCATAGCTCAAAAGAGATAGGGAGATCTTAATCTCTTTATCAGTGTGCATCTCTGAAATTCTGTAAGTTAATGTGTGCAGAGAAGGATTTTCCTGAAGAGATAAATGTAATAACTGTAATTAGTTCTTGTTGTCTCTGCTATAACTTAAAGGTGTTTAAAAGCCTCACAGTAATCTTTTGTTTGAACTTCAAACATGGTCCAGGGAGTGGCCAGGGGCGATACCCATATTCCCTTACTCTTGAGAAACCCTATCCCTGTGAGAGAAGCTCTTGCTTTAAAATTCTTTGGGAGTTTAGGAAAAAAAAGTCTTGGATAGCCATTATGCAGATAAACAAGGGATATTTAAAACAGGATGATGTTATTAATTTAAAACTATGTAAATCTCCACATTGAATTGCAGTATTTTTCAAACATACAAAGAATACTTTACTATACCCACTTGTCCTGCTACTGTTTTAGCAATACAGGCTACAGTACGTCCTTTTTTTTCCCCCTCTAGAAATTGAATGAGGTTCTTTTACTTCTGTGTTGTATTGTGTCCAGCTTTTAATGTCAGTCACATGAGCAGGGTTAATCACTGTTTCTGACTAAACTTTTGGACTCAGAGATTTAAAAGTCAAGAGATGCCATTTACTAGGCTGCAGCATTTGTTAAAGTATTTTTAAATTCAGATAGACTGACCCAAGCCCGCAGGGTTGTAGGGGGGAAAAAAAAATTGGGTCTTAATTAAGGGTTATTAATACTTAATAACTTAATATTTAATACTTAATAATTTGCAGCAACCTTGTTGACTAGTGGACAGAATACTGTAAAATAAACAAACGAAAAACCAGCAACACCCCCAAAAAAGAAAACAACTAACCAAAAAAACCCTCAACCCTCCAGTGGTTTATTTGGATTTTGCATAGCGTAGCTAAAAATTTACTGAAGAGCCCTTTCTGGCAAGGGATTTAATTAAAAAACCCAAAAAATCCATATGATGTAAATGCTTTACTATAATGTTTCTTTGACTTTACTCCCAGATAAATATAAGTTTTATTTAGACATGACTTCTACAACAATTGTAAGAAAAACATGACCACCAAAAATAAACCAAAATACTTCAAATTGTGATTCATATATAGTTGAAATAATATAAGGATGCTATGTATTGTTTACATCAGTAAATTACTAAATAATTATATAATCTACAGTGTATAAAAATACAAGTATATCTACGAAGCATATATATTTACAAAAGTACTATAAAATCAAATATACAAAAATAGCAGGTTATAACATTTGAAATATCCCTTAAACAGTCTGTGAAGCTAGAGGAAGGCCTGAATCAGAGAAATACTCAAATACAAAATTTATAAAGAACAACTGCACAAGCCAAGTGTTTACAGGCACTGGGATGATGTCTTCTCTGTTCAACTTTTGATCCTGTCTGATCTTGCAACACCCATTAGGTAAAAATTAGCACCTTGTGCACAGAGATTCTTTTGAGGAGCAATTTGTTTTGTGGGAAGAGGAAATGGATTAATTGCTGGTACTTTTCCTTGTGAGTCACAATTAAAACATTTCCGAAATGGTGAAGGATTGCTGTCTCTCATCATAGGTTACTTGGTATGAGCTGTCTCACTCTACATCTTATAGCCAATGTAAACATACCAAAATCATATGCTAGGGACATAATAGCTAGGTAACTACTTCCAAAGCTTGAACACTTAGGGTTATTTAAAATTATTACTTTTACAAGGTTTTTTGTTATTCATTATGTATAGTCCATAAGCTTTTCTTCCCATTCTGACTCATCTAGTTATATCTGCCAGATACATAAAGAACTTGGTAAGTGGGAGGAAAGAAACTCATTCTGCACAGAAAATGTACTGCATACGGGCACCTTTTGAACTCTGTTTCGGGCTTGAGTTACAAGCCTTGGACTTTAGAGGAGAGGAAGTATCTTTCACGACGAAAGTAATTTTTAAAGTGAATTGGTATGAGAGATAAGTTTCTTCAAATTATTGTAGTTTTGTTTCAGTCTTGAGTAGTTTTTAAGACGATGTATATTTTCTTTCAGAAAACTGAGATGTGGGAGAGCGAGAAGAGTGAGGAAGACATGGAAGAGTATATCTGGGAAAACAGCTGCTCTCAGAAAAATGCCTTGGATACACTACTTCGAATAAAAGCCTCAGAGAATGTCAGTAATGTAACTAAGGAAGAGCTTCTTGCATCTGAAGTGGTTCAGAATTACAGAAACTCTGTAATTGCACTTAAAAATGAAGGTGAAACAGAAAATAACATGTCCCAGTATAAGGAATCTGTGAAGAAACTATTGAATATACAAGCATTACCATGAGAGCAGATTCTGCAGGTACATCTGATTATTACAGAAATATTAAACTACTATGTTAATATTTCTATATGATATGGATATATAATTATTCAGAACCTTAACCAAAAATATGAAACTTGATAGAGTAAATTTCAATAGTAATCAGATTTTTCTTTAATGCGGGATTTTCTTGTAAACATAATTTTCCTGTCCATGAATCTTGTTCTTTGAATAAAGTATGTTTTGAGTCATGTTGGTGACTTGAACATTCTCTTCTGTGCTTTCTTAGCTTGGGAGATCCTGGTTCAGTTCTCTGCTGAATCACATTCTGACTTCTCACACAACTTCTTTTAGCCTATAACTTAGAGCAACAATGTCAAAAACAATGAAATGACTTAGGCTCCAAGTTCCATTAATTAAGACTCTGAAAGTTAAGAGCTTTAAACTTTCTAAATGCTTTTCAAATGTCACTCAGATTTTTCTCTATCTGTACTCCCTATCTGTAAAATAAAGATAATGTTGCCTAAGAAGTTTAACTTTTGGAGAGGTGTTGAAGCACACTGAGCAGTGTGAGGTTCTCAGTTGTCATCATGAGGGCTAATAAATATGCTAAGTAAAAATACCTGTCTCTAAAATGATGGAATAAAATAAGGTAGAAAATGGGGTGGTAGTGGGAAGGTGAACTAGCAGTTACTTACAGGATACCAAAGTACATGGGAAAGGAAGAATGATGAGAGTTGCTGAAAGTGGGAGCTGGTAAGGAGTGAGGTGAGTATATAGCTTAAATAGAAATGGACTGAGTTTTGGTACCCTGAGGCCTGCGGAGTTGTCTCTTGAATGTACCCAGGGTCTTCAAGGAAAAAAATGTTTGTAGCATCCAGCTTACTGCTGTGAAGCACAAAGAAAGAAATTGTATGCATGTTTATCTTATGTTTGGTAATTTGTATTTGAAAGGAATTGATTTGACACACTGGAATCACAGGCAACTTTTATTGCCTTCTCACGGTTAGGGTAAAAAACCCTTAAAAATATCAGCTGGAAAGGACATGAATAACTCTATTCTTGCTTTTATTGTACCTTCCTGCCTTACTAAGATTTCAGCTTAGAGAGAAAGTCTTCACTTTCTGGAAGGTGCAGAGGGAGTTTTTATTCATCAGACTTAAGGATTCTGCATACCTATGAAAGAACCTAGCATGTGGCCCTGCCAGCAACTTGTTGAGAGGAAACAGCATAAGAATAAGGACATTGAAAACTGAAGAGGAGTTGATTTCTGCAGAGCGTTCTATGTGGCTCAACTCATTCACTGCTAGGATTTCACACTGCTTGTTTTGTGTTTACATACAGCCAAAGTGTGTTATGTATTCCCATTTCCAAAACATTGTCAGTTTTGGAAGGATTCTTCTTAGGTAGAGATTGTTTTCATATGGCAGGAGACTTGAGTTTAGCGCAGCTTTTTACTCCCTATGAGAATTTGTCAGAGCCGCAGCTAAGATTGAAAATGCTTGTCCTGTAATCCCAATGTTGCACTTTCCAACTTCGTTATTTAGTGGTCCTTCCTCTTAGATTTGTATTAATGTGAAGTTTTAGCAGAAGCTTAATATGGGGAAAGTTTTGGCTGTTATAGGTTGTTCCTTTATTCAGGGATAATGGGGGTAATGTTTAAAATTCTCACTTGAAATAGTGCATCTGTGTAATTCCTAATCTTCTTCGAAAGCCATGAAACCAAAATTATTGAGGAAGTAACTGCAGTTTCACTCAGAGAATGGTATGGATGGTGGAGCTGTGCCTGGCTTTATTCCAAAGGTGGTTTGGTTCTAGTATGTACACAAGAGAAATTTGCTTCCTTAATTATCTTTGTCAGTGCTTGCATAAGGACTGGCGTACCAGCAAGCTTCTGTTTTGCAGTGGCATGTCTTGTACCAGACTGACATGAGTGATGCCCTTAAATGTTTTAAGAAATATAAAATCCCATAAGCTTGCTTTTCTCCATAAAGTTGTCCTTACGTACTCAGGACGTATGAGCACCTGATAAAATCCGCTCTGCAACAGAGGACAATTCAGTTTTCCTTTACTCTTCATAGACTTTAAATGGACCTAAGCAGAACTCTGTATGAAAGTTAAAGTAACAGTTTGAGTTTATTAATAATAATGGCTGGTAGAAAGAAAGGCACAGCAAGGGAAATTGATTTTTTCATTTTAATTTTTTTTTTTATTTTAATTACATTAGCATTTCATTAGCTTCACACTAATTAATGGAAAACCTAAAATGTACAGGCTTCTAGAGTTCCCTCTAAAGTGTTCAAGCCTAGCTTATATATATTCTATAAATGTTTCAAGAAGTACAGGCAGGGTAAAAGGTGGCTGTCTCCTGAGTACTAGGACACTCACATGTCTCTACCAACAATAGATTATACCTACTGGCCAAGAACAGTGTTGGGACTAATTCACTGTGGTCCCTAACCACGTCCAACACTTACCATCAGAAATTAATTGTCAAAGATACCAGTTTTCCAGTAGTATCTGGCTTAATGGCCCTATGGCTATACAACACTTGGCCAGCTGGCCTTAGAAATCTGCAAGATTGATCTCCAACCTTGGTTTTCAACGTCTTTACTTCCTCTCCTTGCTAAGAAACATAGGAGCAAAATTCAAAACCTTTATAATCCTGTAAGTGCCCAATCAAGCTACTAGAATCAAAGGCAATATAAAATTCAGAGTTACACTTGTGATTTTTACTAATGGTTTATATGTTATAGTACAGAACTTGTTACAGTATAGAACTGGGTCAAAGGTAGCCTGGATTATATTTTGATGTCTTTGTCATCTTGGATGTTTCTCTTTCTATTTTTCTGCTTCTCCCTCTGAACTGCTTGTGTTTGAGGGTGGCAGTATTTCTCTGTGATTAAGTAGAATATCTAGAACACTGGGATCTTAACTCCAGTGGGAGTCTTTCCAACCTTGATGATGTATAATGTAGCACATATTTTTATGAACTAAACTACACATCTTTATTTTCCTATATAATACTCCTGCAGACCATCTCATTGGAAACCTGCACTGAAGTTTAAAAACTCTGAAGAGTTAGGGAGTAATAGACTTACAGGTTAAGCAGCTCTGCAGCACAGTAATAAGTACATCCTTAGCAATGGTCACTTATTAATGTATCATGTGCGTTATAATGTAAATACATGACTCTAAGGTGTGTATCCCTCTATACATACCTGTGTGTATGTACATTCTTCTGTTACATGGAAGTGCTCATGTAACTTTTAAATAGAAATGTAGATCGATAACACTTAAATCAAGAAGCAGGCTAGGCCCCCCCAGTGCATAAATTCGGAAGGAAGGAAGGAAGAGCAAAAAACCACACATAATATCTAGAGGCATTGGCTGTCTCCATAGGTGATTCTTTTACTGGTATTTACGGGCCAAGAGGAACATGGAGCTAGTTCATGACAGCCCTGACCTCAGCTAACCCTGTCCATCATAGATTGAAATTTGAGCAGGAAGGCTACTATATATGCTTCTTTGCGGTCATTGTTCTAACCTCCAATAGCAGATGTCTCATTTCAAATCCAAACACTTGCCCCCACAAACTGGAAAAGTAAGTTCCTTACAGCAAGGAAAAATAAGCTGTCTCCAATGGAAAAAAACTCACATGAATTAAGTTCTTGGCCATCTGGAATAGTTGTGATGCATAGTTTTGCTGGTGCTGTTGAGGAGACTAACCTTTCTTTTATCTCCCATATAAACATTCCAAAGAAAGGTTGAGATCTAGTGCTTGGTGAAACTGGAAAAGAACTTGCTTTGTCAGTATTCTGGCTAATTTTTTGCATCTAGAAACTACTGTAATCACTGGCATAGGATGTCTTTAGTAAACAGTGTGCTAAGAGTTGTGAAGTGAAATGTTCAAAGTGTTGCTAAATAGTTTCTTAAGGTTGTTTGTCTATGTTCTATCGCACTGTTGCCCTTTAAAGAAGGGCTGTCAGACACTAAGCATAATCTCTTGCTCAGATTAGACAAGAAGGCCTGTACAGAGACATAATTCAGTCTTTGGCAAGGAGAGTAGATGTTACAACTACTTGTAACTTCACCAAGCCTTAAGACCTGAATGTGACTGGCTGCCTGTGAAGAGTTGGTAAACCCCTACAGATAATCTCATGCTCTTCAGGGAACTAATTTATACTCCTGACTGGAGTTGACACTTTTTGCCTTGTTTTCATGCGTAGCATTGCTACAAGCACAAGTAAGGGATAAAGGGACAGTTGCCTAAAAAGGGATGTGCTGTCTGGACAAACCATCTTTCTACCCATTTCTTGTTTTCCCTCATACTTAAAATGTGTGTATTTATTTTCTTGTGACTCTCCTAGTCTGTAATAAAATAGTTCTGCTACTGTGCTTTATATAACCCTTTTCCTGCCTATTTTTTTCTCTATATGCCAACAAATCAAGAATATTCTGCAGAACATCATCTTATATATTCTAGTTATTCCATCCTGCCCCAGAAGTGTGTGTGCATGGGACACATAAATTTTCACTTCTGTCTCGTTTGCTTTTTCTGGTGAGTATTGGGGTCCTAGTTCCATTATATGATTCTACACAACATAATGTTAAAGGTGAGTATCAAAGGAGCATCAAGGTGCTATTAAGTGCACTGTACAGTCACTATTCTGGAGATGAGGAAACCAAGAACACCAAGGATGACTGTGACTTGCTGCAGATCACACAACTGATGGATCAGGTAATTACTTTTTTGAGAGGAAAAGGAGGTGAAAAACACCTGTTTTAAAATAAATAGTATATTACCTATGACTTATTTCTATTAAAACTAATGCCTTCTTGCGGAGATTTGTGTTTCTGGCATGTTGGAGCGTATCATGTTCAGTGAAAGAGTTTCTTTGCTAGTCTTTTCATTTGTAGGTATACAACATCCCTGATGTAAGAATATTAAGTTCTCACTTTTTCAGTAGTTTATTTCCTTTTTAAGAAAATCTGTTCTGCTAGTAGTATCCATGCCTTACTACTAGCTTTTCTCCTTTTTTCTTGATTCAAGCTGCTGGAGGATCTTTTATAGCAAAGGAAGAGTTAAACAGGCTGGAAGAAGCCTAGCGCAGTTGACTTTGCAGCACTCCAGACTGTTA